CACATATTATACAAAACTGAGCATAAATTGATTGTTTGAGGTCCTAAACTAATTTAAATGAAAAAGATTTCAACTACAAAGTTTTATAACTTTTTGAGATCTATAACTTTCATTTTGATAGTTTCTCCATCCGAGATTACTTATAAAATTTGAATTTCAAATTTGAGAAATTCGAACGTAGTTTTTAATGACAAGATGATTTCAAATGAGAAAGTTATCAACTACAAAGTTTCATAACTTTTCAAGATCTACAACTTTCATTTTTACTGTTTGTCCATCCAATGTCGTTTAAAAAATTAAAATTTCAATTTTTTTTATAAATTCAAACGTAGTTTTATTTGACAAGATGATTTCAAATCAAAAAATTGTCAACTACAAAGTTTCATAACTTTCCGAGATCTACAACTTTTATTTTGGTTGTTTATCCATCCGAGGTCGTTTACAAAATTTGAATTTTAGTGCTTAATTTTTAATACTAGGTGTCTATTTGTAGATGATGTTCAATATTGAGCTGCCCCTACAAATCTGATTTGTAGGCCGGCTGTATATAGAGTCGCCCCTACAAATCGGATCATTTCTAAGGGCGGCTGATAACACCGGCCGTCCCTACAAATCTATTTGTAAGGGTGGCTCATTTGACAACTATTTGTAGGGACGGCTCAATATAGAGCCGTCCCTACCAAGAAAGAGAGACGTTGTCATAAATTATTTTTATAGCAGTGATATGTAGAGAAATTAATATGATATAGTAATATAAATGAAAGTAGTTTTGTACCACAAATTTCGCATATTTCTACGCTTGTGTACCATACGGTGGTCCCGTGCCGCCAGCTGGTCTATATCTGGCTACGCTACACATACGTCGACCTGCTCCTGCTGTTATATATACGTCTTGGTTTGTACGTACCAATCCTTAGCTAGGTACTACTACCTCTCGACGTGTACGAATGATTCTTCGTCCTATAGATGATTGATGACGATGATTCGTCTAGTGGTGCATGTCGATCATTTTTTTTTCTTTGTAGGAGCTATCGGTCTCTGGAGAGCCGATATACCTATCCGGCCGCTATGGCTCCCTAGGCTGTCATATCCCGTGCCTAAGGTCCTGTCGGACCCCGAGTGGACAATAAGGGCCCTATCGGCCCCCATTCAATTAGATTTATAATCATTAAAAAACATTATTTAAAAGAAAATTCAGCGTGTATATGCTCCTGCGCGTCGTCGTCAGGGCCGGGATCCAACGAGGTAGCTAGTCAGCTGTCGTTGATCGATGGTCGCGTGCCACGGGCAAACAAATCTGAATCGCCATTCATATTCATCCATCCATGTACGCATAAAAATACAAAACAAGATGACAAAGGGAGGCACAGCTGACAGCCCGGCTACCTACATAGGAGTATATATACGCTAGTGTGGTCCGTGCACATGTACACTATAGCTACCAGCTGAGAGCTTCATTCCACCGTCAACTACTCCCTCTGTCCCGTATTAGTTGTCGTTGTAGAAATGGTCACAACGACCAACACGCAAGCTAAAAAACTCTGCAGCTGACGGCGACGTTGAGCTTGGCAATAGCTGCTCGGGCTAGGAAATAATATTTTACTGAACTCTCCACACCGGGTAGAGACATCAGCAGTGAATCTCATTTTTCTATTCGATCTTACAGCCGAGTGTAAAACAAGAAGTGACAGCTTGATGGTATGTTGGTAGTGGTCAGGCGCGTATGCTGGCCTATAACGTCAACAATTGTGAGATAAATTTTGAATCTCAAAACGTCATGTATTCTGGGACGGAGGGAGTAGCTAAGATCACATCGATCGGTCGCCCATATCTACTCGCATTGCAGTGAGCGGCTCGGTATTATTAATCGGTTCATTCCCGAGTAGAATGCTATGTATGTAAACAACGAACATGTCCATCCATCCAGAACTCTAAAAAATGGCGCGCTTTGATGCTCTTGTTAAACCTCCACCCTGCCCACCGCCGCATGCCTCTATCACTGTTCTGGGCCAGCGGTGTCTCGCCACAGGTTGTGCCACCCGCGACCCATTTCCCTTCCACTTGGCCATGCCTTTCCCTAACAAGAATAGGAGTCGTCGTCCCTGCCCACCCTACCCGCCTGTATCTGTTGCCGCCATCGGCTAGTGGTGCCTTGCCACCGCTTGCGCCGCCATCGGCTAGTGGTGCCTTGCCACCGTACCCACCCCAATCACTACTCGCTCGCGACCTCTGATCCCCTAGTCTTAGTCGGAGGAGGAAGAAATGGAAGCTTCGCCCCTGTTGCCAATTCCGTCCACCAGATGTCCATCGCCGTTCGCTTGGCAGCGCCCCCCCCCCCCTCACTTGTCGCCCATCGACCTGCCACCAATGTCGGTCCGACCGCCGACACACTAGGCCCTCCTCTGTCTAAGGCCGTCAGAGCATGAAGGGCCCCCCTGAAAGCCCTAATCCATTAACAACCGCCAAAGTGGAGGGAGATGAGGCATGCGTGTGGGGAAAGGAGGGAGGCACACATGGTCTAATCTCGTGTCGACACGTGTTCGAGCATTGTTTCCCATAGCGACGTGCGCGTTTCAGGATGTGTTTTTGGTAATTTCCTTGCTCGCCTTGCCTAGCAAGAAATCAACGTAGGTTCAAAGCATGTTTGATTCTTATAGGCAGAAGTATAATAGAATATATAGCTTTTAGGCTCACCTTGTCAAAACTTATGAGGCGATTTTGTTCTCCTACAAGACTAGTTATTGGGCGGGCCAGTTAAGCTCACTCCAAAATCAATGCAGACGCGGCCTTACTCTCAACCATACTTGAACCTCGGTCCTACCACTAGATCTCCAACAACATTTCATCCAATTACTCCTCTTATCTTTCTACCTTCGGCCTTTTCTTCCTCTAGGGATGGTGCCTAAAGTCTCTCTGGTTTTTTCAAAGAGAGAGAAAGTACTAAGGGATTGTTTGGATCTCAAGGCTAAAAGCTAGCCTATTTTATAACAATGATCTAAATATGAAAGATTAATGTTCAGCCCTATGTTTCAAACATTGTGAGAATCTCATCGGAGATTGCATTGGAGAGAGAGAGAGAGGAAAGGAGAAGAGCTAAGAAAAATCAAGGGAACAGAAAAAAAAATTCCACGTGTCCAAGGAGAGAAAATTAACTCGACATGCATGAAAATTACCGAGAACTTCATTCGTTCCTAGCTGGCTGGGCCAAACTCAAACTCAAAAACGGACGGCGAGGTCACCAGACAAACGCTGAAATTTGGACAAATGGGCTGCCTGCAACTGCAAACGGTCGAAGACCAAAGGCAGACCGAAGAAGGACGCGGGACGCCACCAGCGGCCAGCGCTGTGCGTGGCAATGCACTGGCTCCAACTGGCCGCCGGCCCCACGCCACCATATTTATTTAAAAACTTTGTCATTGAGCTTTAAAGAATAATCGATAACTTTGAGTTCAGTTATATATAAAAGCTTTGACAAACAATATTTATTTGAAAATATATTTTGCTAAGTATGGCAAGGAAAACTTTAAACTCTGACTAACAATATATATTTAAAAATATATTCTGCTAAGTATGGCAAGGAAAGTTTCACTATATTTGTTAGAAAAGTTCCTTGCTTTAACCATGTCATATATTTGTACTAGGTATTTCTAGCAGTATATATTAACTTTTGTCCCTTTGTGAATCAAAATGTTATACACTTAGTACTATACTCGAGTGTTTCAATCTACACATCATTCGATTTTGTCGCCAATCAATGAACGCCACGTACTTGGATTAGGTCTCCATTGCGTCATCTTAACCATTTGAGCGAGGTTTTCAGCGGGTTAGGGTTTATCTATCCTTGATATGCTTAGAAGGGAAGGGGGTTTGTGGATGGTATGCCAAACTAGCGACGGGCGTGGGGCGGCGATGGCGCCGCCGATCGGGTAGTAGGGAAGACTGTTGGGTGGGGCTATGACGTAGGCGTCATGGTGATAGCCTGGGAAACCCGGATTAGCGTGGCAACAGTGGGTGGCGACGGGATGCAGTAGCGAGGAGCCGCCAGAGACGAAGAAAGAGGGCAGAGTGGGAACACAAACGACCGTAAATGAATGTAAAAATGAGATGTTAACATACAAATGCTTTCACACTCGCTGGAGAACGTGAAGTAGCGAGCGAGGAATGGCAAGGAGGTAGAGGATATAGGGTTTAAGGACGAGAGGTGTGAGCCATTGGAAAAATCAGATCAACAGTAAGTGTAAACCAAATCGAGTGCTACCTGCCTACGGAGTACTTCTCTTCTCTTGTATGCCTTTTGAATTCATCTGCATGGAGCTAGCTACGGTTTTATCACGAGATCTCTTTTATCACTCCCCCTCCCTCCTATTCGGCTATTCATTTCCTTCGCTCTCAGCTGTGTTTAGTTCGTAAAATGAAAATATTTAGATGTCACATTGGATGTTAAAAGGATGGATTTGGAAGGGTTTTGGATACTACTAATAAAAAACTAATTACATAGCTAAAAAGAGAAGCTGCGAGACGAATTTATTAAGCCTAATTAATCCATCATTAGCACATATTAGTACTGTAGCACTTATGACTAATCATGGACTAATTAGTCTTAAAACATTCGTCTCGCGATTTTCAACCAAACTGTGCAATTAATTTTTTTCGTCTATATTTAATACTCCATGCATATAGTATAAGATTCGATATAATAGTTTGGTGTGAAAATTTTTGAACTAAATCACGCCTCACTTCTTCCTGCTGCTACTACCACCACACTGGTAGCGGTAGGCTGTAGCTGTAGCTGTAGAACAGCAAAGCAGACCCACCGCGCATACATACATATACACGCGCTCCGCCGCGTCTCTCTGTGGGAGCGCCAACTCGCCTCTGCTGAGCTGTGTACTTCTCTTGTATGCCTGCCTCTGCGGTTCTGCCTGGGCGTGGTCAGCGAGGGGACTGCCGCTGCTGCTGCTCGCGTCGGCTGCCGTGACCCACCCACCCGACCTCCGGTGATGGCCGAGGCCGACCGTGACCTGATGCGCCTCCGCGCCGCCGCGCTCACGCTGCACGACGCCGCCAGGGACAAGCCGGACCGGAAAGCCGACGTCTTCGCGGATCTCGGCTCGCCGGTCTCGCCGCTGCGCCTGCGCCCGGCAGCGACGCCCTCGTCCTCGTCCTCCTCTGCCGGCTCCGCCAAGTCGCCGGCGCCGGGCAATGCGGCCGCGGGGAGGGGAGGCCGGGGGAGCCACTCGGGCGAGCTGGCGCCGGAGAGCACCAACCTGCCGCGCCCGCCTGGCCACCGCCGCTCCGGATCTGGCCCGCTCATTTTCTCCGGCGCCAGCAGCAGCGCCGGCAGCGTCGGAGGAGGAGGGGGAGGCGGCGGGAGCGGGAGCACCGCCAGCTCACCGCTCACCAATGCGCTCCCCACCGGCAACATCTGCCCGTCCGGCCGCGTCGCGGGGGCGACGGCGGCCGCCACGCAGCCGCCGCGCGCTCGCCCGGTCGTGCTCGGATCCGGCACCGGCCACTACGGCCATGGCAGCATCATGCGCGGCGGCGGCGGCGGGAGTGGCGGGGGAGCGACTCCCGCGAGGACCAGCGTTGACGCGGCCCCGCTGCTCCACAGCAACAACTCCTCGAGGTCCCCGGCTAGGTGCCCTGCGCCGCCGGCCACCAGCGGTGGTCTGCAGGAAATCACTCGCGCGGGGAACGAGTGGTACAAGAAGGGCCGCCATGCCGAGGCGCTGCGGCACTACGACCGTACCGTGGCGCTCTGCCCCGACAGCGCCGCGTGCCGCGGCAACCGCGCCGCCGCGCTCATCGGGCTCGGCCGCCTACCAGAAGCGTTCCGCGAGTGTGAGGAGGCCGTCCGCCTCGATCCGGCCAGCGGCCGTGCGCACGGCCGCCTCGCCGGCTTATGCCTCAGGTGAGACTTTCCTTCGCTTGCCTTGTCTGCGCATGCCTGTTCTCCTGCTCTGGAATGGAATGGAATTGCATCCATAGATCTCGCATATTTGTCTCCGCTTTGCTTGCGCGCAAATCCAATATGCTGCTCCTTTTCCGTCACTTCCCTGTGGCATGTTGATCTGATTTGGGATTATTACAGTTATGGTGCTGATCATTACTGTTTCTTCTCTAGCTTGTTTTGGAAGTAAAAGCTCTAATCCTGTGATTACATGAGAAACATGAGAAAGTTTGCATCTTTATAGTTGGTAGTATGTTGCAGTGAGTTAATGTGGACTTAACACGATGTGCATCACACAATGCAGCTGATAGGGACTGCTTACCTGCATTATCGATTGTGCTTTGACCACGTCGGGGATAATCTCATATTCTTTGAATAGTGGTCCTGATTGTATAATTGAAAAAATGTAAGTTTTTCTCGATTGCACAATGACTGACTGACTACCATATTGCAGGCTTGGGATGATTGAGAAGGCAAGGACGCACTTCACACTGGCAGGAAGTGTAAACCAGTCTGACCCTGCTGAGTGGCAGAAGCTGCATGAGGTGGAAATCCATCAAGGGAGATGCATGGATGCAAGGAAAATTGGAGATTGGAAGAGTGCACTCAGGGAAGCCGATGCAGCCATTGCCATTGGAGCGGACTCCTCTAGATTGGTAACCCTTCATTATAATTTTGTTTGAAAATATGTTGCCTTTTCCTGGTAATCGAGTCATTCACAAGGGAACCGTACTTTTGCACTGCAGCTTCTTGCCTTGAGGTCGGAAGCACTGCTTCGGTTGCACAAATTAGAGGAAGCTGATTCAACTATTACAAGCTTATTGAAATTGGATAATGCATCATTGCCTTCAATGCCAACCAAAGTCTCAGGCTCAGGCATGTCAGCTGATTCTTATGTCCATATTGTCCAAGCCCAGGTCAACATGGCATTTGGAAGGTACAAATACCGAGCCTTGAGAATCATGATTTGTCGCCTTCTTTCCTTGGTTCTAGTGACACAATGATTGAAACCTGTTTCTGCAGGTTTGATTCAGCTGTTGCACTGGCTGAGAAGGCTAAGCTTATTGATCGTGTGAGCTCAGAGGTTGAAGTGATCCTAAATAACGTGAGATTAGTCGCAATGGCTCGAGCCCAGGGGAATGACCTTTTTAAGGCAGGCAAGTTTGCTGAAGCATCTGTAGCCTATGGTGAAGGGCTGAAATATGAGCCCTCAAATCCAGTACTATACTGCAATCGGGCAGCTTGCTGGTCAAAGCTGGGTCGGTGGGCAAAAGCTGTTGAGGACTGCAATGAGACCCTAAGAGTCCAACCTAACTACACAAAGGCTCTGTTAAGACGTGCAGCGTCCTATGCAAAGGTAAGGATTTTACATGCATCATTACAGCCATGATTATTCACCGGTTTTGTTATTGACACCTTCATTTAATATTTTATTAGCTTGAGCGTTGGGCTGATTGTGTGCGGGACTATGAGGTGCTTTGCAAGGATCTTCCTGGTGACACGGAGGTTGCAGAGTCCTTGTTCCATGCCCAAGTCGCATTAAAGACAGCCCGTGGAGAGGAGGTGTCCAATATGAAGTTTGGAGGGGGAGTTGAAGAAATTACCAGCTTAGAGCAACTCCAAGATGCTATCCATTCACCTGGTGAGTTTCTCCTCTACATGCTTATTCTGCCGTACCCTAGGCCCTAGCCTGTTATAGTCATTTCACCTCCCTATTGATTCTTGTTGTGCTAAGAAGTGAATAGCTAACCAGCCCTGCCCATTCTAATATATCAATGTCGTTTGACATGCATAATACATATTCAGTTCAGTATATGGAGTGAATGTTATTTATGTGGCATTTTTTTCAGGTGTATCTGTTCTTTACTTCATGGCTACAACGAACAAGCAATGTGCACAAATTACCTCATCTGTGGACTCCCTTTGCTCTGAGTGCCCTGCAGTGAATTTTCTGAAGGTATTGCACCTAACGTATCTCGCATCAATTGCTGAAATTAACTGCATCTGATATGAGTTTCCAAATTTCTAATCAAACATCTGTATCCAACCCTGCAGGTAAATGTTGATGAGAGCCCTCTGTTAGCAAGGGCAGAGAATGTGCGAGTAGTCCCAAGCTTCAAAATTTACAAGGATGGTACGAGAGTGAAGGAGATGATCTGCCCTAGCTTACAGGTCTTGCGCTATTCTGTGAGGCACTATGCTGTCTCCAGCTCTTGAGGTCTGGTACCCAGTTCATTGGTCCTGTTAGTGTCACCTGCCAACATTTCGCCAACAAATTTGTCCCTATATAATATCACAGTCTCCACAGCATTTCACCAGTTCGGTATAACCCCCTATTAGGCATGTTGAGCAATCTTTCTATACAAAGAAGGAACCTCCTGTAGTATAGTGCATTTCCCCCTTCCCTGTGGTCTTAGTCCTTGTCTCACTTAGGCTTCTCCTATTGCAACTATTTCCAGCCACCATTTAACCCAGCTTAAGCTATTCTTCCATCTCATGCATCGCTTGGCTGTGCCTGCCTAAATGATAAGTCCACTCCTGAAGAAAGGCTCCTTGTGTGGTGTTCCTTGGATGCATGCTGTTGTCAGAGAGGAGAATAGGTAAACGGCTGGCTGGTTTTCTTGTTACATGTACATATATCCCATATAGCAATACATCGAACCCATTCATAGATTGGTTCACTGTGGAGAAAAGGCGGTACTAGATTCGGATTCGGAGGCGGCAGATGAGGAGTACAGGTCTAGTTGCCATTGTAGAGAGGGAGAGGATAGCTGAATCGTGCTATTGGTATGGTATGTAGAGAGACAAAACAGGGAGGTGGCTGGTGTGGTTCATGTCATTTGCATATAGTATATGCCTTTCTGGTGGTCTGTGGCGCTGATACATATATACTATATATATAGTTCATGCTGACATTTGTTTCTATGATATATCGATTCTTTCCTGTTTTTCCGACTCAGATCTTGTTGATCCTTGTTGGTTTTCCATACTTGCAAATAAGCTTCCATTCCGGATCACACAGCACAGCAGCAGGTGAGGTCCATGTATCATCAACTTCACGCCTCTCTACATGTTCATTCCACAATTAGGCTTCTGCTGGTACTGCTGTCACCTGTACTGCAAGCCTGTAGCTTAGCATGATGCATGTCTGCATGTGGCATGAGAGCCCGGTCATGTGTTGATATGGGGATGGATGAAGAAGCATGGAGTGTGCTGGCCCCTGTGCCGTGTGTGCTGCGTTTGCTTTGTCTGCCTGTGATTCGTCCAACGCTGCCTGGCTACCATCAGCTAAGCTAGGAACAGTAGGCGCTTGCCACTGTTCCCAGTGAGTTTTGCAGTGGCTGGAGGACAGGGCTTTTGAGCTTGTGATTGTTGGCCATCTATGGATTGCAACTGCGAGGGGGCAATGATTTGGGTCCCCAGTCAGTCCATCTGAGCCCGAGCCCTCCCTCCTGAATGCATGCAGCAGCTTCTTTTTGCCTGAATGTGAATAGCAAGTTGGTTGGTTGATTGGTTGGTCCTGTTCATTGCTTGGGTTGGGTTGGGCAGGAGCAGCACTACATGATTATAGTAACTCTTTACTAAATGATTTACTATAATGTTATGGTAAATATCTCCATGTGTTATAGTAACATAATTATCGTAAATATGTATTTACTTTATCATAAATTAAGTATAAAAAATATCGTAAATGAAGGTGGCTACAAACTAAATTATTCTGTAGCAATTACTGAATATACTCTATATATATATATATATATAGTACTCCTACATAAGTCTGTGCAATCATAGTCCAATGCAGACAGGGCCCTGGGCGATTCGCCGCCGCTGCGTCCATGTTCACGTGACAGGGTTGGTACCCACGGCAAGTTTCAGTCCCAAATGGAATGGCCAAATCCAAGTGGAGCAGTACTGGCTGTAGCAGTAGTATATTCTCAGCTCAGCCATGGAAGTTGCACTGGATCTGCTAGCTATTATACTGTACTCCGTAGACCAGATGCTCTGCACGCATGGCAAGAGGCTGGCCAGATTCCATCTGTCTCTCGTCTCCCTCCTCCTTTGAAAACTTGCTGCCGACACGACAGGAACACAGGAATACAACAGCAAACAAAGAAAATTCATGCCTTTTAGTTGCCCCCCTAAAGTTTACTTCTTATCCTATCAAATATTTGAACACATGCATAGATTATTAAATATAGACTAAAAAAATTAACTAATTGCATAGCTTGCGAGACGAATATTTTAAGCCTAATTAGTTCATGATTTGGTAGTGTGGTGCTACAGTGACACATGTGCTAGTGATGGATTAATTAGCAATTTTAATAAATTTGTCTCATGGATTTGGGAAGGACGGATTCGACGAAGTCGGAATTCACCTCATATTTTTTTTTATTCAAAGTATCCAAACACCCCGGGAACGCCTCACAACTTCACCCTCATATAAGAGTGTAAGTCCAATGTGACACTCCCAAAGGTTAGTAGTTTTTTTACACCCTAGATTTAAACAAAGCCTAAGTCCAGCCGGATAAAAGACAGAAACAAACAGTTGGGCAGCAGTGGAGGGAGTACTCCTAGGCTCTTGCATGGTGTGCAAGTGAAGTTGGTGACCAAGGGCATCATCAATGGAGGCTATCACTCTTAGTGGTTCTAATACAAATAAAATGATGAGAATACTATTCACACAATGTAAAGTATCACTACTTGTGATTTGCAAAGAAACTTTTTTTTTTCTTTCATCATGCCTCACCTTTATTTTCTCTCTCCCTTCTTTTTTAGCATGGATCATCTTCTCTCTCCAAACATATGTAGGCTTCTAGGTCCTTTCACTCTTGCATGGTGTGCAAGTGAAGTTGAGTGAAGTAACCAAGGGCATCATCAATGGAGGCTATCACTCTTAGTGATTCTAATACAAATAAAGTGATGAGACTACTATTCACATAATGTAAAGTATCACTACTTGTGATTTGCAAAGAGCGCCTATATTTTTATTCGATCCTACATGGTCCTTGGAGCTACTTAAAAAAAAAAGTAGCGTTGGGAAGGCTAGGAGAGATGGTGTCCATCCTGCCGTTGCCTCCCGTTGTTCACGGGGCGACAATTCAGCGTGTGTGTGCGTGGCAGCTCGCAAGGGACGCCAGGCAGACAGCCGCCCGTTGGTGTTTTGGTAATGGTATGGACTGCCGCCTGCCGGTGGACCGTTGCCGCCTCCGCCTCTCACTGCACGAGCACCACTAGGCCATGTCCAAGTGCAGCTTCCCATGATTGGATCGTTGGGTTGCCGTTGCCGACCGGGCCAGTGTCAGGTTCACAGAGCATTCACACAGGCCTCAGGCTTCAGCAATGTGAGTTGTTGTTGAAGTTGAGCCTCAGAGATGTGCAGTTGGCTATGGGCCTACAGTATGCCCTATGGAAACAAGTTTACATGGCAGCTTTCTGACTGGAACTTACAGCTATATTTCCTGGCAACCAGCTCTTCGTGATGTTTGTTTTCCTTTTCGATCCTCTACTGTTTGGATCAAGTGACTAAACTTAGGCGGTGTCACGTGGAGGTGTTCGGATACTAATAAAAAAACAAATTATAGAAGTAATCCGCGAGACGAATTTATTAAGCCTAATTAATTCGTCATTAGCATATATTTACTATAGCACCACATTGTCAAATCATGGACTAATTAGACTTAAAAATTCATCTCGCAAAACAATCTTAATCTGTGTATTTAGTTTCGTAAATAATCTATATTTAATACTCCATACATGTATCCAAACATCGACATCGACTAAAGTTTAGGAGGTGGAAACAGACACCTTACAAACACTAACTGAAGGCAGCCCTACAAAATCCCCTTTCTACAAGAGGGGTGGTGAGTGGTGACTGCCTGCCCTCCAGGACGCTAAAACATCAAATGGCCCTAAGTTTACTAGCAGTAGAACTGATAATAGTTCTGTGTTCTAACCGAGCAGAAGTAGCGCCGCCTATACAGCTAGAACAAAATTTTATCCTGGTAGATGTCCAGTGCGTCCATGATTTTCTGTAGGAGCATCTTTCGGTGCAGCCGATACCTGCACGTAGAATGAAAGAAGGTAATCTTAACAACCGATTGTTGAAAAGCTGTATGCTTCATGATCCACATGCAGGCCCAAATACGAAACACTAGCAATCATAACAAAATAGTTAGTTCACCTACTTGATTGCAATTTCTCGGGTTTTGCTGATATGTACATCCGAATCTGGAACATAAGTCAAAATCTGTTTCAGTTCGGGGTGCTCTTACGAAACACACAGTCCTATGGGAAACCATGAAACACAGCACTTTACCTAGGATCTGCTGGTCTTGCTCGATAGTAGTTGAGAATGAATCCAACATTTGGCGGCACTCCCCTTGCAGCACCTGAGCAGATTTTCTCTCCACACTAGGTATTGCAGGAACGTCACCGTCTGACCATGTTGGCAATGCTCTGGCTGCTGCTACAACTGCTCCATCGACAAAGTCAGTTTCTACTGAGGGCAACGCGGCTGAAAGCAAATACAAACAGGGTGGTCAAAATCAATGTTAAACAGACACATTCGACCAGTAAGGAAGTATTGTGCAGTGATTCATACAATTGTGGTACAGCTCATCATGCAAGCCAGCAATATTGAAGACAGATGAGAAGGAATCCATATGAATCGTTGCAGGGCTCGAGAAATTTATGAGCTCCCAAGGATTCTGCAGAATTGGTTTCGCATACACAAGCAACATAAGATGTCAGTCTAAAAATGGTATGCCACATGTTGTACATAATGGGGTTGTAATTTCTCAACAGGTGCTGCATTGTGGTGTGTGTGTACACCAAAAGTTGTGCAAAAGGGCATTATAAATTTTTTTCCAACAGACACTGCATTGTGGTGCCTATAAGAAGCAGCACAGAATACTTCAAAACTAGACTAGTTTCCTAGAAGCAGGATCTTGATTTCACAGATACAATTCAACTGACAGTTATCCGATATCAAAGAAATCACAAAGAAAAAAATTTCTTACATCCTTATACATAAAAGTAAACATCAATAACATACAAGTGCATGGCCATACCGTTGGTGATGAGAAGCCATATCTTTCCATAAATTTGCTGTTCATGCCACTCATATAATCTATTGTCATCTGTACATGAGCACATGGGCCAAAGAGCGTCATAAAAAAAATGGCATAAAAACTTGGAAGAATAGACTTTGTGAGGATAGCATATTTTAGCAGAGACTGTTAGAACAAGGCTGTGCAGCGATATTTCTATTGGTACGTGGGATAGAGAAACTTTCCAACACGGGACTGGAGAAATGGAATGATCTAATTACAAGTGCATAATAATAGAAAAAAAGGTTGCGAATGGATCTAACATTTACACAATTTTAATGACTGCCCTTTTCAGCGTCATTTTACTATCCATTATTTTTTTAACAGTTATTTAGGCCTTGTGTTAACAAAAACGTGAGGTCTGCAACCAAGGTGCATGTGCAGCATTGATTATGTTCATAAATCCATGAAAACAGAGCATTTAACTTCACTAACAACATAAACTAAGTAATCCTTTGCTCGGGGAAAAGTTAAGATGAGCATACATCCTAGACAATACCTCATCTCCTTTCTTGATAGCATGTCCAGCCTTAATCATAACTTCAAGCATACGATCTTTAAAACGCCAATGCAGGAAGCAATTAGCATTGGGCGAGTGGTTCAACATATCTGGGGAGAAAGACAAATCATGATTTAGCTAAAGTACTCCTAATCAGATAACTGGGAAACGTGCTAGCAGTCAGAACAATATTTTGAAGGCGAATAACTATAATGCATGACTGGGAGAAATATCTGGTGTTACATGTGACAGTAGATGTATTTATGGTTCTTATCTCAACAGTTCTACGATGTACAAGCATCATTCCTGTTATAGAGATTATCTTGGATGAGTTTTAAGTTCTAGCTTACATCTCAAACTAAGTCAAATGCTAGAATGTTGTATCTGTGTAACAGTATATATATCAGCATACAAAACTACAAAACAAAGTAGAGTAGAAGTCCAATTGAAGTACATAATTAACCATATTTACGTGATTATCATCTGCTCATAACACTAGCGCCGTGTTGTTGGCTTAGGTGCCTATGCATACTGGAGGGGGAAAAGCAGCAATTGCGAAAATTAAAGGAAAGAAATACCGGCATAAGGTGCTAGCACATTCGCATCTTGGATGAAGGCTCCCATTCTCAACTTCAAGTTGACAGAACGAGACTGTACTATACTCAGTGCCCAGAGAAATCTCTCATGGTCACGGGCAAGGCGTTTCAGCTTTAGAGGAATTGGTTTGTCCTGGATATTACCCATCAAGTTAGTGTTAGAGGAGCTCAAGGAAGGTAAGCTAGTGTAATAGTAAAGAACTATACCCAATGCTTTTGCCAAAAGTCAATTGCTCGCCGCTGGTGTTGTAACATTTGTGAGGCAAGATCTTCATCTTCTAGTTCCATTAGATCTTCCTAGAAAGCCAGGCATATGAATTCATTCAAACTGCAGAATCAGGTATAAGAAGCTTCCTCAAAAAAAAAAAAAAAAGGACAAAGCAGAAGTATATACTTTTCGTTAGCTTTTGGATACCTTTGGTGCCAGCAGCAAACTAGTGCATTCATCAGCACTTGGCAAAAAATCAGAATATAACTGCCAAAAGTTGTCTTCTATATCAAATGCATATAGAAGAAGGCATGCTAATCTTAGATCCCAATCTGTCTGCAAGAGTAATACAAATTACATCAGCTTGCAGCGTACATCACTTATTGATGCTTTAATATTTGCTGAAGGAAGAAAAGAGGATTGAGTTTTTGAAAGTGGTATCACTCCTCTCTAATTTAACTGAGCATTATGGGTTTATAACATCAACCATATGGATGGAATGTGCACATGAATTGCTCTGGAGTATCAATTACGCAGATCCTAGTTGTATTGAAACTAAAGTACTGTATGAATATTGAATGCTAAATTGCACCCATACAATTGCAACTTCAACACCGTTCAGTTAGATGGCTGTTACAGAATGAATCCCAAAATAAATATACAAAGCCAACAACTGATTAACAAAACGATTAGCATGACAAAGCTCTTAACTAATTCTCTAAACATCCAACAGAAACTAGTGATGGCATCTTAAGAGTTCAGTTTTCTCTTTGCGATGAAAGATTTGATCCACTTACCTCTGGATCTGTTGACTCAATAATGTCAAATATTGGATGACCTAGTGGAATAATGTCGGGGAAGAACATCCAAGGTTTCTTTTGAGTTATAGTCAGCATCAGTTCCAACGGAATCTCCATAATCACCTGGAAAAGGAAGCAAAATCAGCACATCTTTCAATAACGTTGTTCATCATTGTGTACTAAAAGAACCAAACCTGTTAATCAAACAGTTTCAGCATGCCAAGAATATCATATAATTCTGTTGAACAGGATAGGCCTATAGCACACATCAAGATGAAGAATTTAACACGTGGGTCTGGCATTTCAGCAGCTTAATGCGAGCAGACATGTAACTATATAAGCCATATTTTTTGGCAGCAGCAAGTATGTAGCAATTAACTTAAGCAACTGACTTCCTATGGTAATTGTATACTACTTACTAAAAAGATAGTGTAAGTGTGTACCACTAAGGAAATAAGTTGCCAGATCTAATCAGTATACTGCAACAGTCACTTATTCGCATGACAGTTTCCAAATTCCAACCCAATCACAGATTCACAGGTGCTACATCCAAACACTAACTAGTGTGGTGAAGGACGTCTCCAGCTGCACTGAGCTGGCGATTTGAGCATCAGACTGATCGGAGAAGCCCTAGCTAGTGATTGGACAAGGGGAGAATTGTTGAATGAAGTGTCTCACTCTAGCTCTGCGGAGTGGCTCCACGTCCCGGGAAGCGTAGACGCCCATGCCGTCGGGGCCTTCGAGGAACTCGATCCCGTAGGCGCGCATCATCCGCGCGTATCCTATCCGGTAGAAGTCAGGGTCCACGGGCTCCATCTGCACACAATGCGATGACGTACGCACATACACGATCATCATCAGTGAGGCGATTCAAAATTTAGCGGCGAGACCAGAGCTCCCGCGTCCGTTAGCGAGCGACGAGAGCGAGAGGGAAAGGGATAGGACCTCGGGCGGGAAGGGGTCGTCCTCCTGCGGCGGTTCGAGCAGCCTGAGCGGAGGCGTTTCGTCCCGCTCCAACGCGGCTTCCGCCACCGGGGGAGGCGCTGGCGGCGGCGCCTGCAGGCGCGGGCGGCCCGCGCGTAAGGGACGCGGTAGCCGCCGGACGACGGGTCGCCAGGGAGTGCGGCGGAGGGACGGATTAGGGAGAAGAGAGGGGGAGAGGAGGGCGGAGGCGGTGGGGGTGGCCATGGCAAGGACAGTGAGGGACGGTGAACTGGACTCGCCGAAGACGTTATCTGTTGGGTGGCGGGAGGGCGGCGTTGGGCAGCGTAAGTCCGCTTTCCCGACTGTGAAGGCGGGAAACCCTGATCCCTTCCGTTTGAGATGTCACAGGGCATTTTTTTAAAAAATAAATAAATATTGTTCATCCATTTGGTTTGATAGGATCGGCAGAGAAATATGCATTCGATTTTAAGGTCTCTTTGGGATGAAGTTTTTTTTCCTATTTTCTGGGTTTTCTAGTGTCCTATAAAGTTTCTATATAATTTTTGTGAAATTTCTATGTTTCAAAAAAGAAGATAATTACAAGAACAAAGAATCTACTGCAAGGTCGTCTTTGATTCTCTCATGTTGTGTAGCAATGAGGTAGGTTATTGTGTTTTTGCTGTTGTTCGTTCAAACAAAAATCCCTAAGGATCCCATATAACCCTCCTGAATTTATTGTTGAGTTTGGAAAATTCCCTCAACTCAAAACTATAGATCTTACAATTCAACTATTAAAACCAAATAAATTACCCCCTTATAATAGTTAACAGTGGTTTGTGGCATGTCGTCCTTTTTTATCAAAAAAAGACTAGTAAACAAGGATTTGAAACCACGAAAAGGAATAAAGTATCTTGAAGCCTCTAAATAACCCAAGAAAAATCCTAGAGATACATTAGGATATGAGAAGCCAAAATAAAATATTTGGAGCTCATGAGAAAATATCTCTAAAGATTCTAAATGTTGGATTTAGCTTTATAAGATTGGAAACCATCCAGGAATATATATAAAACTCATGGAACATACAAATCTACGTCTAAACACATTTTGAGAATTTCCGCAATAAAAACACAAGTTTACAACTGGCATGAATGCCAACATTACCGCGTCTTGCACTCATGCTGGTCGCATCTTATGTTTTTATTGTGGAAAGTTTTCAAAATGTGTTTATACATCGATTAGAATGTTTGAGAATTTTCTTTTTTTAATATTTTTGATTTTCCTAGTGCTAAATACAAATTTTGGAAGCTTTCATAAATGCATATGCTTCAAATATTTTATTTGGATGTCTCTTGTACTAATGTGTCTCTGATATTTTTAGTTCTAAAGATATTTTATGTGGTTTAAAAAACTTATCTAGTATCCATCTTAACTAAAAATGGACAATGTCGCTTAAAACCACCCTGGAAACCATTTTTAACTATTATATGGGGGATAACTTGTATGGTTTCGAAAGGTGAACAAAATAAGATTTCTGGTTTTTTTAGTTGAGTCTTTTTCTAAACAACAATATAATCTTTTAGAATCTCAACGAGCTTTACTTCATCTTATTATATTTGGCTGTTTTCAATCATGCATTTCAAGTGGTACCTTAACATACCGGTGGCACTTAGAAGAATAAATATGACCGTGACACATTATTTTATATAATACTTTTTTCTAAATTTGGGCATCCATATTGTTCGTGCAAGCAATGTGCTACTAGTGCTAATAGTTAGCAACTAAAATTAGTACTAACGGATTTAAATATATTGTCGGGTTCATAAACCCGGGGTCCCTCGGGGACCGGCTTCCACGCCAGGGCTCGGCCCGGAAAAACAGCATGTATTTCATGGGCTGGCCCAAGAGTCTAAAGCACAATGGGCCAGAAGGACAGTCCGGTCGCCCGACCGGAAGGTCTACCTAAAAGAACAAGCGCCCGCTCGTCAACTTCTTTGGCCCACCTCTCCGACCGGAGCACTCGCATCGGGCACCAGCCGCCTCCGGGTGGTCTCTCCGATCGGAAGGCCTGACCCAAAACGCTGCTTCCTACTCCGACCCCACGTCTTCGACCGGGGGCCTATAGAAAGTCTGCTTGCCGCTCTTCTCCGACTGGTGCAGCCAGAGCCGACTGGGGCCATCCGACCGGGGACTCCCGCTCGGAAGGGACCAGGGGCGAGCGGAGAAGGCAGCGCACAAGTCAAACCACGATACCGGGACCATACCCTGTACACCTACGGGAACAGTGCTCCACAACCGCCCTAACACAAACAATATTTATTTTGCAGGTACCGACATCCACCTTTCCTGAAGAAGCCAACGCAACCTCCCATGTGCACCTGACATTCTACAGTGACATCAACAGTATTGTGGGCGCCTACCATCATCGCTACCTTTGTCGGCGTGCGCAACAAGGCTTAGAAATATCCGTACTCTCTCCCTCTCACCTGTAAAGCCATCCCCTTTACCTATAAAAGGGGATGCGCTCCCTCCAACGAAGGAGGTCGACTTCCTTCAAGTTGATATTCACTAGATCAATAGCTGACAACCCCTCAAGCACACGCTTGAACACCTAGCTCATAGCGGAGATCCGGTCGCCCTCGGCCCTTCCGGTCGGACCCGACCGGGCCTCTCGTACACCCACCTTTCTTCTTCTCGTTTATAACCCCACTACAGACTTCAAGCACCTAGGCTCAGGAATAAAGTCACCGACCGACCCAAACTGAACGTAGGGCACGTTGCCTGAACCAGTATAAATCCTGTGTCATTGAGTGCTAGGCCATCTCCGATCACAACGTACAGCAAAACTACAAATATTCACTAGTTGGTCACTTTCTGTACCGACAGTTGGCGCCGTCCGTGGGGAAGACGTTGTACGTTCAACACTTTTTGGTCATCGGATGGCCCATTTTTTCACCACCCCCGCCATGGTGGGCTCGGGCTATACGATTTGCTTCGGTTCGCTGGGGTATCCCGCACTCTCACCTGCGGGGATGCGGGTTCCACCCATTTTCGAGCCATCCTAGGCCTTCCTCTTCGGAAGCCTACACTTCGTCGCCGACCGGCTCGGCGTACTCCATCTTCGCGAGGAGACTCGTGACCCGGCACCCATCGGGGAGACGTCCTCCATCGACTCCGGGACGCGTGACCTCTACGGCGTGGCACTTGCGCTCCATTCCGAGCAAACTCTCTGCTCAAACTCGCTGTGAGTAATATACATGCCGTTCTTTACTTACTACATTCTATCTTCTGCCAAATACCCGGAGGGCTGTCGTTGTCCCCGTCGCGGCCACCGTACGACCGGTTCCCCTACGGCCTCGTGTCTCCCATGGACGCGACGCCCGGGGGCTCGAAAGATTATGGCGTCGCCTCCTCTCATGTCTGAGTTCGTGGGGATGGCGAGCTACGCTCCCACATGTTCCCTCGACATCATGGACGACGACGTCGGGAGTGACGGCTCTAGCATCGGCGACGTGGCACCCAGCCACCGTCCGTCCCTAGAGTGCGCTATGACGGACGCTCTAGAACAGCCGCCAGGGGCAACGGAGTCCTCATGGACTCACCCCCCTCCGGTCCCTCATACGAAGACCCCTAAGTTCACACGCGAGCATGGGGAGGAACTACGACGACAGTGGCCGCATCAGCTACCGACTACGCCAGCGCGCTCGGCGCGCTACAGTGCGCCCCGTGCGCGTGGACCGGCGAACGGCGCTTGGGGTTCGCCCGTCAGGTCCAGCGCAACACCGGATAGGGGGACCAATCCCTCGCAGTTTTCTCGGGCCAATCAGAACATTGCCGCCGCGGCAATGCTCCTGCGCGACCTGTCCGAGCCAAACGACCCTCGCGAACGGGCGATCCACAGGAACCTCCGGGCACTGGTGGAGACCACCGCCATTCAGCAAGCGGAGTGCTCCGTATCGCGACATCGACTCGCGACCCCGCTCCCCATCTAGGGAACAGGGACGCAGCAGATGGGGCACTACACCCTGTCACCGCAACAACCACTGAGCGCGGCACATGAGGCCGCAACGGCACCTCATCTTGACCTGACGATCGCTCCGCACCAACCGTCTATCTACACATGGCTCAGACCAAACCAAGGCACATGCAGCGGTGACCGGAGTCCCAGCACTGACGGCCCGGGACTACCGACCTTTGCCCAACTCCCCTAGCAAGCACCGTTCTTACCGCGCTTCAACGGAGGCCATGGCAAAGGTAAGGCCAAGCGCCAGGATCAAGACGAGGGCCTGTTGACACCGTTTTTTGCACGTGTCAAAATGATCAGAGTGGGCTAATCGGTGCAGGAGGAAAGTTACTGTATACGCTGACAGCCGATGAAAATCAGCTTGTAAAGATGGTTGCCGATGAATGGTGGTGATCGATGGAAAGGTTGATTTAGACTCGGGCGTTGCCGATAAGGTTGGAGATGTTAGTGTTGATGCCGATGAAGGAAGGCTTGAAAACTACTGCCGATGAAACAGGAAGTATGCCGATGGAAAGGAGGTCGGTGAGAATTCCATCGTAATTGAGGCGGACAGGGAAATAGATAGGAGTTGATTTTCTTTTCTATATTTGTTAGAGTATGATTCATGTAAGAGTCACGTGTTTCCTTAGATATGGACTTGGTGTCCTAGTCGTATTTGGTTATGTCTCTTTAGATCAGGGTATAAATATAGATTGAGGGGCAATGTAATATGGATCAATCAATATCAAAACCAATTTTTACTCCTATTTACATCTACTTACTTTTCAGCGACTTCGTCAATTTGCATATTTTTTCCTTTTTACGAGTTCTCATTGATTCGGCGAGTTGCATCGCTTTAGTGCGACCTTCGGTGATTCTCGAGTTCCGCGTGAGTACCTCTTGGCCGTGACTTCTAGGCGTATCGCTGTTGTCAGGACCAAAGTGCTCGTATCTTCATCCTTGTCGATTAACAGGTCAAATCGACTGACACGCTTTGGATATCGATTCGGGTATTAGCCCTTTGTGTTTGCAGATCCACTTTTGCATCAACACATCTTTTGGCATGCCCAGTGGGACCAATCAATCCGATCAATATGATCAATCCCGAGATCGATTCAGGGAACATTATTGCGGTATCAGAAGAAGATCTTAAGGAAGAGCAGAGGCAGGCCATGGAAAAGGCTATAGAAGAATACATGCAGCTTTGTCTGAGATCGTTTAGCCTGAACAAGAGTGGACAAGTCATCCAGAAGCAAGATTTGCC